CTTCACAGAAACTGATATAAGATGTTACAGTCTCTGTGAGCTCGTCCAGATCGGTGGCAGCAGCTTCAAAGACGCTCCAATCAGTGAGGTCAAAACAAGCTTGAAAATCCTGCTCTGCTTCATTAGTCCATCTTTTTACAGTCCTTAATACAGGTTTAGCTGATTTCAGTTTCTGCCTGTAGGTCGGTATAAGATGAACCAAACAGTGATCAGAGAGCCCCAAAGCTGCTCGTGGAAGAGAGTGATATGCATCCTTTATTGTGGTGTAACAGTGATCCAATATATTACTGTCTCTGGTGGGACATGTAACATGCTGTCTGTATTTTGGCAGTTCACGGGAGAGATTTGCTTTATTAAAGTCCCCAAGAATGATTAAAACAGAGTCCGGGTGTTGTTGTTCTGTCTCTGTGATCTGATCAGTGAGTTTCTGTAAAGCCGAGCTCACGTGCGCCTGTGGAGGTATGTAAACACTCACGAGAATGAACGAGCAAAACTCCTGCGGCGAATAGAAAGGCTTACAGTTAATGAAAAGCGCTTCTAGATCGGGACAGCACATCTTCTTTAACACTGTTACATCTGTACACCACCTTTCCTTTATGTAAAAGCATAACTTAAATCCTAAATAATTGTCAACAAGTTTATTTGTAACTGTCATGAGATTGTATGCATCATTTAAAGGTTGGATGGATGGATATGAATAATTTTAAAGATGGATGGATATGAGTAATTTTATGGATGGATGGATGGATATAAATCATTTTAAAGATGGATGGACAGATTGCTACAGATTTAGATATAATTATTTTTATTGATTTCCTTTTTCTGTATTGAGTGTCTGTCTCAAGATGGACAGATGGATGTGAATTGGATGGATGGATGGATATGAATAATTTTAAAAATGGATGGATATGAGCCATTTTATGGATGGATGGATGGATGGATATGAATAATTTTAAAGATGGATGGATAGATTGCTACAGATTTAGATACAGTTATTTTTATTGATTTCCGTTTTCTGTTTTGAGTGAAATAGAATTATATTTACAATTGTTATTTCTCTAAACTTGTGTCATTTTAATAAACATTTTCACTAAGTTCATAACGATGCTTTTTCTGTGAGGAACACATGTAACTCTGCTTTAGAGTCTGGTTAAAACATCTTGCTGCTCATGCTTTGCATTAGATACAGTAGCTGGGTGAATGGAAACATCTCTGCTAAAATGACAATGTAAATATTTTTGGTACCTTCCTTCAATATTTTTTAAGGTTATTAAACCGTTATCCTCCTGTTGAATTGATTTAAAGATCAAAATTGCCTTTGTTGGAGCAGCATTACATTTTATGTCAGATTTGGACATTGTACATCTGGCAGGGTCTCCTCAGATTCTCTGAATGCTGCAGGCTTTGGATGGTTTGAACTGCAAACAAATGTTTGCTCTTACCAGCTCTTTTGAAGACTGTTTCCAAAGGCCTGGCCAACACGGAGTTTACTGCGATGGTGGTCCTCAAGTTCTTGCATTAAAAACAGATTTGATCGATTGATTTATAGAAACCCTTGTGAACACTTCTGTGTTTCTGTGAAACTGAGTACCTGATTTTGTTTTGGGAATTTCTTGTTTGATTTGATGGCTACTGAAGGACAAATCGTTTAAAACAATTGCTGGATTAACTCTTTTAGGGATTCTCCAGGAATGAGTAAAGCTTTTAGACTACGTTGTCTGTATTTTATTTATTTATTTATTTATTTTTTATCAATTTTGTCTGTACGTGTTTTATATGCAAACTGCAATCCTGACCACTCTGGTTAAATACTACAAAATCTCCCAGGTTGCTACCCAGCATGTATATGGTGGGATATATTGTGTGTAATTTTTAAAAAAATGAGTGGAAAAAATTACACCATGACATTCTGTTTTTGGTTCAAAGCCATTGGCAATTAGCAGTTTATCTGATTACAAGCTAGTGATGGTGTATAAAAGCAAAACTGAAGATATTGTAAAATCAGTTCAGTTCACTACACAACCACATCATTATAGAAACATTCTCTATAGCATGATGATCTTTGAAGGTTGTATTGGGTTACTGTTTGCTAGAGTATACTGATTATGCAACCCTACGCAGGACAAGCAGTTTAGAGGATGGATGGATGGAGTATAGAGTGTGAATTGGTCAGGAATTGCAGGGCTTGATTTGATGTTGTCACATGATATTGGATGATTGGATGATGTTGTGTTGAGCTTTAATAAATTGACACCATTGGTGACTGTTTTGTATTAGATGCTGATTTAGAACAGTGCAGGATTTGATCCACGACTCAGATGTTCTTTAACGCTATTGGAACAAGTGAATTACAAACTAATGAGCCACTGCTGACCTCACTAACCATATCAGCCAACTGTCCTGTAACTGGATCTAAGGAAACTTGTTTTGGTTTTTTTATTCTCTAAAAGAGTCATAAAGTGAGGGAACAAACTGTTCTGGAGTGTTGTAATGCTCCTTTCACCAGAGCATTGCTTATGTGGCCTGTGCTTGTCAAGAACCACCAGGAGCTGTTTTTCATGCTTGTCACCTCATGCTAAGTACATCTGCAGATGTGCTGGTGAACCAGGTCTGGAAGTGGATCGTCTTTTAGCAGACCAGAATTGATGATTAAGTGATTGAACGAATGAACAAGTAAAGCCAGGAATGTGTCCAGTCAGACCTGACTCGAAACATGAAACATACTGAATCCCTCTTTCAAAAGCTAACATAGTTTCTCAAATATGGTCATAGCCAGTGCTGGGTGGTAACTGATTACGTGTAATCTGGGTCATGTAATCAGATTCCACAAAGTAAGTACTTGTAATTAGATTACAAGTATTTTAAAATGTAATATAATCAGACAACAGTCACTTTTTTTTATTGATTACCTGATTACATAGTATTCACATAAATTATTCATCATTTATTCATAATTTCTCCCTAATACTTTTTCATCTTTTAAATGTTCCTTTCTAAAATAGTCTACCGATAATATGCATTCAGAAAGTCTTCCAGTTTTGTAGACATTCACACAAAGACCACTCACTAGTCAGATGGTTATAATTACACAGAAAACTGAGAGGCCACACAGCATTTGAGCACTGGATTTACAAAAATAATTTAATGCACTTAATGATGTTTATAACAAATAGAATATATTTTCTTTCTCTGTGTTTTTTTTATCAGTATGGTACAAGATTATCCTGTTTAAATCAAAGTGAGTTGTCAGAAGTAATCTAAAAGTAATCAAAAAGTAATCTGATTATATTACCTAAAATGTGTAATGGATTAATAACTTTTGTCATGTAATTTGGAATCAGTAACTATAATTTGTAAGTAATCTACCCAGCACTGGTCAGGGCACAAACAAAACATCTCATTCGTGGAAGAGAATGCAATGTTCTTCTCAATTTACTTAATGGGAAGCTACAATTTAACTAACTGCGCTCTTAGTGGTGTAGTTTTTCCCAACGAGTTCAGCTTCTCCAAAGTTTCTCCCCTTTATCCCGCTCCTTTATTTTATGAATCTGGCAACCAGTTCCTGACTAAACAGTTCTCCAGAGGGCAAGATGGAGTGTTAACAAGCTTCTACATTCTCAGTTTGGCCGAGGGTTTGCTGCCCCCATCCTGGAGCCGGACTCTCCCACGGGGGGCGGCTCGGCGTACTGCAGCCATCACCTCTTTATGAGCGCTCCGAGTGGCCTGCTTGCCGACAGTTGCCAGGCGAGTAACTCGCTGAAAAAGGAGAATGCGCTGTGAAAGGTGGTGATTCAGAGGCTTGAGTGCTCACAGGCACCCTGAGCCAAAATAATTTGATCAGCGTCTTTTCCCAGGTCTCCACACTGGCTCTTTTGTTGGGCTCCCTCCAGTGTGGTGGCAGCAGCCTGCTGATTACTACTGTGGGCCACTAACGCCAGGGTTTCAGTCCTAAGTAGAGCTGACTTGGGAACTGATAAGATGCACGGTCATAGACGCTACAAGAAATTACAGAAGACAAAAATCGCATTTACAAACATGACTCCCAGTGCTGAACTCCTGCCAAGAAAAAATGGTTCAAAATATGTTAACTTTTCAAGAACATTCTTACAAACTTAGAATTGGTCTTAAATTTCTTAAGAAAGAAGTTAAGAAGATTTTCCTGAATCTGGCCTTTAATATAGGTGTCTCAGAAAAAGTTTAAAATGTGCATTGTTGGGGCCTCCAGGAACATGGTTGAGATCCACTGTTATAATTTGTATGTTAAGCTGGTATTGGAGAAAGTAGTGTAACAAAAAATTTAAAGCGCTGTAATGTATTCAGTAGCATGATTGTTGTACAACAAGTGATAAGCAGTTCTTCACGCCATTAGAAAAGAGCAAATTTAAGCAAGTTATAGAAAATCTGTGAACAATAAGTCTATGATCAGCTTGGTCTTTATTTGTCAGTCAGTGTACATGTAAATTTCCTTGTTTTCCAGACAAATAACACATGTTTTTTCATCTCGGTTTGCTCACACAACTCCTTGCCAAAGTCAGCGCATTATTGTATTTTTGAAAACGGGTTTCAAAGTGCAAGTTTTTGAAAACGGCACCGTTATCGTTTCCGTGTAAACACCCAAAACGTGAATCTTTGAAAACAGTGGCGCCATGCGCGTGCGTAGTACGTGTTTGTTTGTTTGTTCGCGCTTGCCTTTAAAATCGACATGTACTGCGCATGTCTACATACCTAACACGTACTACGCACGCGCATGGCGCCACTGTTTTCAAAGATTCACGTTTTGGGTGTTTACACGGAAACGATAACGGTGCCGTTTTCAAAAACTTGCACTTTGAAACCCGTTTTCAAAAATATGCGTTTTCAGTCCCCAAAACACCGTTGTCGAGTAAACGAACAGTCAAAACGCATAAAAAGTTTCCCGTTTTTGGCTGAAAACGTTGTCGTGCAAACGGCTCCTAAGTTTTCTCAGAGACATACAGTAAGTCCACCGACACCCAATGCTACAGTTAGAGGTGAGATTTCTTACTTCCTGCGACGGTGGAACTGTTTAACTGGACACAGCTCATCGAAGAGTTTCTGATTCACCAGCCGCGGCACCAGAAGGAAACGATTATTGGACACAAACTCGTCAATTATCTGCTTTTTCATCCCTCTTGCCTAGAGAAGAAAACAAAAAAGGACTCGTCTACCAAAAACACAACAGTTTTTGAGAAAAACTACAGTTAGATGTATGCAAATGGAGAGCTGGGCCTCACCTGCATAACATCAGCAGGTTTGTCTGTGTTCTCTTTGAACAGGAGCATGGTGGGAGCGTATGTGTTGATGCTAAACCTCTGCACGACTTTAGAGGTCTCAGTCAGGCCCATGTCCACATAGCCAAACCGTACATAGTCTTTATAGGCAAACGCTGTGAGCTGCGAACAAGAGAATATAACAACTTGTGTCAAGAACACAGATTTTAATGACAGACTGTTTGAACAGCTAATATAAGGAACACTCACCTTGTACAAAAAAGGGATATTAGATGCTACATCAAACATTAGCACTCTTGGCTTATTCTCCTCATGCCAACTGTTTAAAAACCCGAGGTAGCTGTTATCTGTCACCTAAAACAAAAGAATAAAGAAGGAAAGAAAGAGGGAAAGGGGGGCAAGGAAAGGGAATGGAAAAGAACGGCAAGGGAATAAAAGAGACAAAGGGAATGGGGGAAAAGAAAGGAAAAGGGAAAGGGAGAGGGAAAAAGAGAAGAGAAAAAGGAACAAAAAAGGATGAGGAAAAGGGAAAAAAGAGGGAAAAGTGGGAAGGTACAGGAATAGGAAGGAAGGAAATGAGAAAAGGGAAAGGAAAGGAAATGGTAATGGAACAGAAAGACATAAGGAAAGGGAAAAGAGAAGGAAAGTGGGAGGAGGAAGGATGAAGTAGGAACATGAAGTGAAAAGAAAAGGTAAAAGGGGACAAAGGGAAAGGGAGGGAAAATGAGCATGAAGGGAAAAATAAAGCATAAAAGAGAAGGAAGGAAAAGGGGAAGGAAAGAGGAAAAGAAGAGAAAGGAAATGGAAAAGGAGAGTGAAAAAGAATGGAAAGGGATAAGGAAAAGGAAAGGAAAGTGAAAAAGCAAATAAAACTTCAATAATGAACTCTTTTTAGCTGCATTTATATGAATGTTTAATTGACAGTCCATGTTAAGTCGAACCTGACATTTGTGACCCTGGAGCACAAAACCAGTCTTAAGTCGCTGTATATTTCTAGCAATAGCCAAAAATACATTGTATGGGTCAAATTTATTGATTTTACTTTTATGCCAAAAATCATTAGGATATTAAGTAAAGATCATGTTCCATGAAGATATTTTGTAAATTTCCTACTGTAAATATATTAAAACTTAATTTTTGATTAGTAATATGCATTGCTAAGAACTTCAT